TGAAATGAAATTTTATGATTTCATCTTCATCCTGCCAAAATGCTGAAAATAATTTTCAAATCATGGACAATTTAACAATTTCATTTAAATCACTGTTAAAAGACACATAAATAAAATAAAAAATCACAATATACAGCACATATCAATTTTTATAAATTAGGAAAAAATAAAATTTACATCCGTGTACATTTCTCATCCTGATTAAACATTGATGAGTAAAGGACTACAACGCAGTGAAGCTGTTTCCCCACAACCGCTCTTAATTTCTTTCCTTCTCCACCCTCCCCCATTTCCTTCTCTTTCCACTCTTTTCCTCACCACTCCTTCTTTCCTGCCTCCCCCTCTCTCCTGCTTTCCCTCTTTTTCACCCAACTCCTCCTTCTCACTCATTCTTTTCAACTTTTCCCCCCACAAATCTTTCTTAGTGTCCTACATTGTATTTTCCTTAACTGATCTCTGATGAGAAAAGGACTACAAATCAGTAAAGCTGTTTTTCCTCCCCCTCTTCTTAATTTTTTTCCTTCTCCAACCGCAGCTCCTTGTCTTTCCACAATTTTCAAAATCAGTGAAGCCATTTCTTTTTTTTCATCATTTGCAACAGTCAAACTGAATTTTTATATTATGTTTTTTTTTTTTTTTTAGACACACTTCAATATCCGATATAGAATTAGGTAAAAACATAATCTTACAATATAACTGGCTCCATACCCAGAATTTTGAACACTGTATGCAGAAAAAAAGCCCAACTGCATTTAATTGAAATCATATTTCAATTAAGTACAGAGCAACCTCGGTTCTCGAATGTCTCACATGTAGAACAAATCAGTTTTCAAACAGAAAATTCAAGATGAAAATGCCTCAGTTATCAAACAAAATTTTGGTTATCGAACAACACTGCCAAACAAAGTTAACCCAAACGGAATCATTTCTGAGTCGACCGCTGTGTTAAATTCATGTGTTGTGCCATGTCTTTCTTTTCCAATTTCATTGTATTGTGACTTTTTTTCTCTACACTGATTCCTATTGGAAAAATAGTTTCAGATTACGAACAGCCTTCAGGAATGAATTAGATTCATGAACCGAGGTTCTACTGTAATTTATTTGTTTAGCTTCTGTTTTGTGTTTGTGTTAGCGTCTATTTTAAGCCAAAAGGTTAGGGCCAGACATTGGGATTTGAAGAATTGTTCAAAGACTGAAGCTTGTGTGCCTTTTTCAAAACTAGTTTACAAGCTCACTTAAGGTCAGAGTGACTTTTATTTCCTGAGGGGGTTTTATCAAAAAGTCAATAATAATGATAATAATAAAATTAACTCATTACTGCATAAAGTTTCCTTAATATTGTATTGCATTTTCCAAATTGACATTGTTCACTGATGTTAATCTTAGGGTTGGCTAGTTTTAAATTTTAGGTAACCATCCCTCTAAAAAATTCAACACCATGCAATAACAGGTTAAATAGTTTCACTACACTAGCTTAGTAGAAGTTAAACCAAACAATATTACTAATTATTAGATGTGACACAAAACCTTTGCCGTATAGAGTGTGTGTCTGTCTATATTTCTGAGTTAAGATATTGTAATTATTTACACTATTTACATCGTTTATACTGTTGTCCATATCTTTATTGCCATATTCACAACGTTTCAGACATTGTATGGTCCAGCCTTCTTCAGGCGATATACATTGTTCTACAAGAACACATGGCTCAGTGGATAAAAGTTTTGGTTGAGTAATCTAAAAAGTGACATTATCCGAAGAGTTGGGAGTTCAATACCTGGCCACAGCAGAGGTGAACAAAATCTTGGAGAAATGAGTTACTAAAGGGAATTAACTGAAGCTGAGGTATTCACATGGCATGTGGAATTAGAACAATCTACTCCTGTGGACTAAATAAAGGGTTTGGGTTGAAAATTCCAACGTATATTACCTGAAGAAGTTCCAAAGCATACAGCTGTTGAAACATCATGAATATGACAATAAAGATGACAACAGTCCGAATAATGCAAATAGTGTAAATAGTTATAACACCTCATCCCAGAAATATAGACTAAATAAAGAGTTCAGTTTGAAATTCTAAACTATATAACTTGAAGATGGCTAGAGCATACAATAGCCGCAACATTGTGAATATGGCAATAAAGATGAGGACTATAGTCCAAATGATGTAAATTGTGTCTATATATATATATATATATATATATATATATATTTACACACACACACTGATGAGCTGTGATACAGAGAAACAGTCTGTCTGTGGATGACTCTATATATATATATATATATATATATATATATATATATAAATTTATTGAGGTTGGGTCACTCCTCCTACCCCAATATAAAGCTTATTTAAGAGAGATGTAAATTTAACTCTCCCTATATTTTGTATTGTCTCTTTAACCGCCACCTTCACCCTCCCTGTTTAATTACAGAAATTACACTACCCATCAATTTCTAATCACATTTTTCTTCTCATTTCATTTGTTGGAAATGTTTACCTGATGATCCGAAATCCTTTAAAAAGGATTTTGGTGAAATAAATTATTGTAATGGTACCTTAAAGTGTCTGTTGTTCATGAAATATTAGCTCTGTTCTTCACATTGAGCTCTCAGGATTTCATCCTCCTTGGATTTACCAATTCGGTTTACCAAGTTCTTTATAACTTAACTATATATGTGTGTGTGTGTGTGTGTATATATATATATCAAGAACAGTTTTGAAAGAAAAGATGTATGACCAATTGGAAAAATTGTTTGTGATGAGTTACATCCTTTAGGACTTCATCGGACTGGGTTTGTTTATGATGAACGAGAGACTGTTAGATTCAAAATTTAGCTAGCCAAATTCATGTATATTCTTTTTTTCTTTTTCTTTCTTTCTATCAACTTTGTTATTAAATGTCACATATTGTGATAATAAAAGGTCTGCCAAGAATAGTGAAATTTAAGAACCTGGGCATAAATTTACTGTAGAGGAACTCACGATTAAAGCACTTTAAAGACATTTTCATCTTAGCAAATTATTTTTCTCTTTTGTAGAATTTTTTGATGTCAAAATTGGGGTCAATCTCGTTATGGTCAACAATTAATGCACTTTATATGTTATTTTTTTTTTTTAAATTAAATTATAATTTTTCATTTTTGTTATGTGCTTTTGGTATATATTCTCGCTAATTTCATTTATATTTTTCTTTTTGCTTCCATCATCTTTGTTACTAAATATCCCACAACAAAAAACTATTCTTTCTAAATTTTGAAACTACCAGTGACTCAATTGAGCCCATGCGTCATCAAAACAAGGTAAACAAATCCAGTCTGATGGTCCTAATGGATGAAACACATAAAAACTTTTTCCAATTTATCACACACACATATATATATAAGAAGCAATTTATACAAAGAATTATTAGGTTGGTGCAAAAATAATTTCGTTTTCTAATATATGTTACTATGTGAGAAAACGAAATTATGTTTGCACCAACCTAATAATTAGCAATGTTAATGATTAATGGTGAAATCACTTCACTAACAAGACTTAATGAAACATTAACTTACTATCAATTCCTTGAATAATAATATGATCTTTATATCTATATCCTTTGTATGAATTGCTTCTTTATGTAATATATATGCTGTACACTCTAATATTATTTACAAAAATCAGATGTGCAGTATGTAATAATCAGAATTTTAAATTAAATTAAGACATTTTACTCTACTAATTGGATTATACTTAAGTCCATATCACTTTAACTGAAAAACACATAGAGCAAAAAATTTTGTGGATTTGTCACTTTCCAAAATTCAAACGAAATTCTCACTTGATTGATTTGGATATAAACTCTAGCATCATGACATTGTACACTCCAAAACATATTTAACTGTCAATAAGTAGCATTTTTTTTTTTAAATATTTTGGTCTACACTACACATATTTTGTCTCAATGTTTTGCCTGTGTATAGAAAAATTGCACCCCAAAGATGACAATTTGAAATTGTCAAAAGTACTTCGCCCGTCGATTCCATCTGACAACAACTCAAACATAAGGATCTTATTATTCAAGGAATTGATAGTAAGTTAATGTCTTATTAAGTCTTGTTAGTGAAGCGATTTTGCCATTAATCACATTAACATTGTTAGTTAATTCTTTGTGTAAATTACTTCTTTATGATATAATATATAAGCTGCACACTTTTATATATATATATATATATATATATATATATATATATATATAAATGTGTGAAGAAAAATATACGGAAAACATGAAAAGAAAATGTACAAACGTACATATAAGTTTTAGATTAAAATAAAATTTTTTTCATTTTTCATTCAAAATACTCTATTTTAGGAATACATTTTCACAACATCGCCCACGTGACGCCGACATGATCATATTGTGAAACGGAATGCTGATCTTGAAAAAGTTCAGTTATCTGTTTTGATCAGTCTTACTCTTATGTCCATCGTCTTTTCATGTTGAATTGAATATAGTCTAATGTTAATTATGTTTTATGAATATGTCCTGAAGATGGTCTACTAGACCGAAACATCCGACGTTGACATTATATTAACATTAAAACAGCATAATTGCATATTAGGATTTTTGTTTGTTTTTTTTCCGTATATTTTTCTTCATACTGTCGGATCTATATCCATATATTTGCTTACATATAAACGTGTGTAACACTTCTCACAGATTACATATATATTACACTGATCCGAGACAGGTTAATGGGATACATTTCCTTGGATCCTTGCCAGAAGACAATGATACTCTGATCCATGGCAGAAGTGCCAATCTATACATAAACAATCCTATAATTTCTGCTTGACATAAGAATATTCACAAGCGTTGGCTGAGGAAAAAATAAATTTAACATGGGCAGGAAATAATTTTAGGATCCGGTTTAGTAAGAAAAATAATAATGGAAACAGATTTGTTTTTCTTTGTTGTTTTTGAAGTTTTTTTTTTTTTTTTTTTTTTTAGAAACTTTACAATAAAACCTTAGTCGGATTCAAAATATTGTTTGGATCAAGTGTAGCCTTCAGCTGTTTCATAACTGAAAAAGCCTCTTTCCCAACCTCATCAACAAGAAGATGTCGTTTTCCAAGGCCAATTCCGTGCTCACCCGTACAGGTGCCATTTAAAGCTTGGGCTCTCCTAGGAAAAAAAAAAGAAACAGTAATAATATGTCAGGGGTAAAATGATGATCAAGTTTTCATAAAAACAGGACAGCATAATTTGGGAGATACATGCAGGTTGCCTCCTTGTGTCTTTTCTATAAATACTTTCATGGTAATTGTTCAGATGAGCTTGTCACTACGGTACCTAAACTTTAGGAATTTAGGTCTTGTATTTAATCCATCATATTTATATATATATTAATGCATGTTTCATTAAATAATATAGACAAGTTTTGTGTATTTATTTTAAGTAAGTTCCTTTCATATTGTCTGATAAGCTTAATTACATCGTTGAAAGATGAAAGGAAAACACCATATTGATATATGTTTAAATCCAATTTAAGCTTTCGGCTTACACAAGCCATTATCAAAGATGACAATTTCAATAAATCAAACAACACATGGACGAAACAACAATGATAGTCTGCCCTTGCTGCATTAAAATTTCCAAGTAACAACAAACTCAGTATATACGAGGCAGAAGCGAAAAAATTATTGTCGTAGTGTTGGCGTCACACATGACCACGCGAAAGTGAAAAACGAGAAGTATTAAGTATGGGAAGAGATTTGTATAAAAAAAATTGCTGCCTATATATATATATATATATATATATATATATCTATCTCACTTGATGTCTATCTTTCCCTTCCCTAAAAAAACTACTCGTGGTCATGGCATCGGTCAGGCGCACGATCGTTTTGTCAGCATAAGCGCTCCTCGCCCGCGACAGTCCGGCATCAGTCTGTCGCTCCAGCGCCATCCATTTTCGAGCCAGTCGATTCAGCAGGTGAGTTGTTACACACTCCTTCAAAGCGGATTCGATTTCGTGGCCACCATCCTGCTGTCTATATCGACTGACACCCTTTCGGGGATCTCGTGGCGTCGCGTTAGGCACCTTCTCTGTCATTCTCCCACTTTTTTTCTTTCCCCTTTAATATTAAGACTTTTTCTCTTTTCTTGCTCTTTTCATTTTCTGCTTTTCCTTTTCCTCGTGTCTGAATAAATTGAACTCCACAAAATAAAAAAAAATCCATTTGGTCAGGTTATAATTTATTTTATGGAGTTCAATTTATTTATATATATAATTTTTCCTTACTGGTAACACAATTAAAATCAGTGAAATGTTGTGATAAGGACAATAATCCAAGTATAGAGTAAATATAGATTATTCAACTCAATTTTTTAAAATAAAATCACAAGTTTACCTGCCCCATACAAAACTAGGAACCCATCAACATTAATAAAACTAACAAATATATTCATCACACGACAAGATCTTCTTGCCCATCAGAAAAATCCTGGTAAAGAAATCTTTTTATTCTGAATGAATTCAACAGGAATAAATTTTAACAAAAAAAAAAAAATCCAATATTACCCATGCCGTAAATATATGCAAAGTAATTTCAAAATTATTTAAATATCATTGTCATTCTTTGACAATATGCACAGTGTTAGCTTTCTTTGGTTATCTTCTTACTGTAATGGGATACACAGGTGGTACAATGAATATATCACAGATGAAGGTTCAGATTCCAGTCAAGGATGAATCCATCTATTCTCTTCAATACCAGCTATGAGTTAACCTGCATTTTTTAAAAAAATTAGTTATCTCAAAAAAAAATTGTTAATGTAATATTCCTGCACAAAAAAAAAAAAAAAAAAAAAAAATTAAGCCAAAAGAAAAGAATTCCTCTTACAAACCAAACCATGTTTCAGCTGGAAATAACCCACAAAGACTTGATAATTTGACTAATGGTTGGCAGCTGATCTCAAAATTGACCTTCAGAAACTAAATAAAATTGGCTAGACTATCTGATGTATTCAGTGGAGTAGAGGGGGTCATATTCAACATTTGATAATTTTGTGTTAATATACGTTTAAAGATGTTTTGATCAACATTTCTTCTCATGGTTAGCTGTAAGGAATTGTAAATCTGGGACTATCTTATGCTTAAGTAAAATAATAACAATAATAATATTTCATAAGACTTTATTACAGAAATTACCAAGTTTTACAGAAACATTAGCAACAATTATGTATTTAGTTAAATAAATAGATAAAAATAATATATATTTTGATGTTATAATTGATTTTTTGTTAGGTCTTTTTCATTTTCTCCTTTGTTACTGGCAGTATTTTACAATCTCAAAAATCTTGTGGCCTCAGCCGAGATTGAACTCACCAATACTTTGATTGGTGTAGTTCATAATCTTGTCAAATAGCTGAATTCTTGATGCTTCACTAGGGCTATCAAGGGTTTTTTTATCGTGACACCAACACTAAATGGATTGCCAACCAAGGCTCAGAGAGACTCCATTCACCCTCCTCTAAGAGCAGGTTTGAATTCAGAGTTTTCCTTCTCCTAGACCAGTTGCCATCCAAGGCTATAGAACTCCATCTGTCCTGCTATTTACCTATTTTCACGCCTTTCCCATAGCTGGAGGAATGTAATGGATTCGACTGGAATTTGAAGGATTCAATTCCTCAATTTTTACAATACTTTGACTGCAATGCTAAGTTCCCTAAGAGTCTGTCTATATTTCAGACCCAAAGAAGGTGAATCCTGGTTAAATGGATTCAGAGGGAAAATTAGCAGGAGATAACTGATAACTGACATCCATCTGGAACTAGGACAGTCTACCCCCTCAATCGAAATAAAGGGTTTTGGAAATTCCAACCACCTGAAGACCATACAACGGCGAAACGTTGTGACAAATATGGCGACAAAGATGAGGACAATCTGACTAATGTAAATTAAGTTGAACAAACTAGAAATGTTTCACTTACGCTTTGTTACCCCTCTTTTCCATTGTTATTTTTAGAATGCTTTCTTCCATTTTGATAGGCAATAGCTAAATTCTGAAATTTAGAATGATCTTATTCCATTTCAAAAATGGAGCCTGCAAAAAGGAATATTTTAAATTAAAATACGACCAAAACTAAAATGCTTTTGACAAAAAAACAAACCCTTATTGAATTCACTATAATTATGTAAGAATAATATTCCGCAGATAAATCTACGGTTTATGTTGCCTCATCTCATTGCATGGTTACAAACTATAAACCTAAAATGAGCTTGAAATATTGCGTAATCAGCTGTAATTTTTTGTAAAATACTTGGATATATAATAAATAATTTTCAGTGAAAAAAGCAATTTTCAATTTTTTGTTGAATACACCCCTCCTCTGCTGAATACATCATATACAAACACATATTTGAAAAAAAAAAAATTGAATTTTTAAAATTTCAGTATCTTCTCTTGCCTTCATGCATATGTGTAATCACTTTAGTCCGAATAAGTCTTAAAGAATGAAACATGTCACATGAAATATATTTTCCACTTTGTCATAGATTTTCCTAAAAAGAGTGAATATAACAAACCAAACTGAAATTTAATCTTGGCTCTCAAATTTCTCATTCCAAGTCACTATGCATTACACAAAAATGGACATCCAGGACTTCAGAGAAGATGTTACCCTGATCACTACAATCTAAACCCCTGCAAGTCTGGGGGACTTCTCTATCCTACATATCCCCATAATAGTAATGATTGGTTTGATAAGGTCAGATTGTCATCTGATCTCAAAAATTATTTACATTCTGTTGTTAACTGGGGCAGGAAATGGCTTATAAATTTTAATGGCCCAAAAATGAAACTTCTCTTTCTAATTGTCTGAAAGACCCCTTCCTGCCTCCCATCAGTATGGCGGATGTTAACCACCAGGAGAGTGACCCCTTGTGCCTTCTCAGGCTAATATGAAGTGAAAAGATTATACTGAATCAATTACTGTGTCTGCTGCTAATAAAGTTGGGTCACTATGTAATGCAAGACAATTTTCTCACCAGAATCTATCTTACACCTTTATAAGTCAACTTATGCATTGAATATTGCTGCCATATCTGGTCTGGTATTTAGAGATTCTTCATAAAATACAATGAAGAATCTGCAGTGTTATTGGTCCTGATCTGGCATCTTGGCTTCAATAACTTTCCCACTTTCCTTATGACTTTTCTACAAATTAGCCCTGGGTATGACAATAAACTGTGTCTGGCAACAATGAGGTTTTGAGGAATATTGAACCACCTCTTAATTGCTGTTGTTCCCAGGTTCACCCTGACAAGGGTGGTAACACCTGCTAGGGTTCCATCTATGGGCAAAAAGCAAAAAAAAAAAAGAAAAAATTACCAACAATATGCACATACTAACAAATTGTAATGACTTCACCCAAATCTATTTGAAATACTTTATCATGACATTACTCCATATATCTGACAATTTCTTAAATCAAACTATATCCCAAAATATTACTTCAACAAAGCTACAACATAAAACAAACATATCATTGCCTCTAGTAATCTTGCCCAAATAAATATGTGTATGCACAAAACCTGAGTATCATCTACCATGTATTCAGTTGTGAAAGCAGAATAATATATATAACATTCTTATTACTTCCAAGCTCCCAAGAAAATTTTGGCATTAAATGACATATAAGGAATCAGTTGATATGTCATTAAACAGACAAAGCAATTAATTTTCTGTAGATATTTTCAAGGTAATTGTTCTGATGAGCTTTCCTCTTTCGTACCTCAATTTATGAATTTAAGCGCAGTACTAGATTGTCAGGTAGGTCTCATCATTTTTAGTTGAAATTGTTAGATGCAATCATAGGTTCTATGCTAACAGTTTCTTCTATTGCACTTCTCACTAGTGGAACACTTTCCAAGTTAGCTTTGATCTTCAGAAATTTAAATGTAATATCAATCATTATCACCTATCTTTTAATTCTTCAGTATCTATCTATATTTCTGAGATGAGGTGTTATGTACATTATTTACATTATTCGGACTATTTTCCTCATCTTTGTCGCCATATTTATTACAATGTTTCGGCCATTGTATGCTCCGGCCTTCTTCAGGTGGTTGGAATGTTGAACTTAACTCTTTATTTCGCTCACTGGACTAGACTGTTCTA